TAATGGAGGATGCGGAACATCAATTAGCCATCTGTAAAGCAACAGTTTCTTGTTTCTATTTTTGTTTTTCTGACTTTAAATAATTGCAAGAATCACCTAAACACTGCCAATAGATTGAGGCTAATGGCATAATACGTACCGTGTTACGTTTGGACATGGTTCTAGTCAGCTGCGCAGCAACACCAAAATCACCTGCTCATAATGAGAAATTATTCCAGCTTTCCAGATTATGTAAAATCCAAAAACCTTTTCTTTTTTTTTGAGAAGTAAAAAAAAAATTAAAAAAATTGGAAGGTTGCTGTCCGTCTCAATTCGTACTCAAAAAAAGGGTTTATGGATTTTTTTTGGATTTTACACAACCCAAAAACCTTTTTCCCTTCAAAACTAGTGAACAAGATTCTGACAGAGGTGTTCTAATATGTGTCTATATGCAAAGAGCATAATTTGGATGGAGCATAATCAGTACAAAAGATCAAATGGCGTTGTATGAAGACCTTCTGTTTTTGGTGTAATGAGGAGGGTATAGAGGATGCTGGACAGATTTTAAATTTTTTCTCTTCTTTATAAGTTTAGTAGCAATTTCTTGAGTTGGTCCTTTTTGGGTCACTGATGTAAATCTTTTTGATGGTTGCCAGCATACCCTCATTGCTGAAGAATACAACTTTACTTTATCAAAAAAAAACAAAAAAACATGATGCCTAGTCTAAAGTTGTAACATCTAGTTTAAATTCTTTAAGTATACAAACATTTTTTCCATTCAATTTTCTGAAACAACAAACAAGAAACTAACCACACTTTCAAGATCTGGTACAATTAATAACTAATATAAAACAATTCAAAATTGATACTAAAGACAAAGAATTAAAGAGATAAAGAACACTCACCTAACTTAACCTCTCCTTGATCAGTCAGTAAGATATTGCCACCTTTAATATCTCTGTGTACTTTAAAAATAGAGTGCAGATAGGAGAGGCCCTACATCACATCTAACATTACTTCAGATGCAAATACAAAAAGCTGAAAAGCTTTTTCAAAGAGAGCCATTTAGTAAGTAGATAATTCCACAGCAATAGAAAAGACAAAATGATTCAATATGGGAACCAGTATCTTGTCTCTGCGCCATATTTTTGAGATAGTAACAGTTGTGTGTATTTAAGCAAAACATCACATAGGTTGTGCTGAAACCTTGTCTCAAGCCCCATGGACATCGTCTCTTTGGTGCTTTCGCATTTAGAAACACCAAAACAGAGGCTGCCTTAGAACTAGAATATTGCTTCCTAGCACCAAACTCTAAACGTGCAATGCAACAATATAGGGTCACCCAAAATTGTTTCGCTTCCAAGAAATTGATTACCATGGGGTGGCATATGCAAACAAAAGGAAGAAATCATTTTCTGACTATGTTCTATCAATATTTTAAGGCAATGTTTTGTCCACACAATTAGGCATTTAGGCTAAACTTGGAAAGGTGATATCTTCTTTTTTAAAAATTAAAAGGCAATATCTTCTTTTTTAAAATTAAAAGGTAATATCTTTAAAGAAGAGTAGCTTTTATCTCCACTACAAAGGTACAGGAAGGTCTGAAAGAAAGTCGCAGTCTTGCAACATTCTTTAGTAGAGTCATGGGTTACGAGTTACAAATGTAGGAGGAACATAGAACAAGCCTAAGGACCATATGGTTAAACATAGTGTTATTATGCTTTTAAACTTGAGCGTTTTCAAAGCTTTAACTATGTTTTAGTTGGGGGCTAAATTGAAAGAACCCAGGAGAAGCAAAATATAATGAAAAGGAGCATTAATATTGGTAGCAAAGGAAAGAGAAATTGAGTGGAGGATTCTATAAACCATCCAAGGTAGCTTTTGTGAACCCTCTAAATTTGAATAGAATGAAGGAGAACAGAATTCCTAGACAAAAGGTCAAGACATCAAGTGCATGACCTTGAATCAAAAGTATCATACAAGCATACTCTAAAACAATGTTTGATATCAAGCATACCTTCAATGCCTCTCGACAAATAAATGCTATTTGATACTCCTCTAAAGCCTCATCTGTGACATTCATTAAGTCAGCAACACTTCCACCCCCACAATACTCCATTACTATCTGCCAAAAAATTATTTTTCCTCATAAATTAAATAAACTGAAAAATTCTACTATAGGTTGCAGACATTATGAAAGGGAAGAAGCGGAAACGGAAACATAAACACTTGAACAAATCAGTCAGAGCATGATTTAATTTTTGAAGTCCAAAGAAATGATGACCCTTCATACCCAAAGGTACTCTTCGCCTTGGTAGCTCCCAAGATAGCGAACAACATTTGGATGACTGCACTGCTGCAACATCTCAATTTCACCTCGAATTTCTTCATAGCCTTCCTCCTAGAAGGAAGCAATATATCTATAAATATACAAAGAGAAACTGAACCATTTCTGAAGTTGAGAGCACAGAGAAAGCATACCCCTTCAGATAATGATATGACTTTGATGGCAACCATTTCTGAAGTCCTCAAGTCTCGAGCTTTATAAACAGCCCCATATGAACCCTTCCCTGTGTTTATCAAAGTTTTCCACTTTCAGCCACTTCGGTCAATAACACTATGGTTGGATAACACAAAAAAAGGACAAATGCACCACCAATGTTTTCTCAGTCACACGATTAGCACCAACATCCAATTCTTCTAATATTACAGTCAATATTGCACTTTGTATAACAGAACCAATGTCATACTCATTCATAAGATAAGACAAAATTGCTTCACATGAGATTCACCATTCACAATTGTAGGACTTTTTGAAGGATTTTGATCAAAATCAAAAGTATCTCAAAACAAGTCGACACTGTGCAATACTTTAACCTCTCTTAATATAGAAAATGTTTCATCAAGCACAAAACCACAAAGCTCTGCTCAATAATGTGATTTGACAAAAAATTCTAGCTACATAAATACTCATTATTCTCCATGAGTCAAACAATAGTAATACTACATCTACACCTCAGTACCAAACAATGGTCACAGGCTCACAGCTATATGAATTAATAGTATCCTTTCTGCTCTACTCGAACCTGTTTCATTCAATGCTCAATAATATCTCTTTTAAGACAATGGTCTATGCCAAATCCAACAGCAGACCAACTCCTATGCTGGAAGATAAAGGGATTCCCCAAGCACCTGAACCGGAGGAAAGCTTGGAACTCCATACTTACTGCAAAATGGTGGATTATTTGAAAGAGAGAAACAGAAGATGTTTTGATGGATAAAGGAATTTGATAAAGATTATATCTTTGGTACTTTTGGTTTCTTTCTGGTGTAAGCTGAATGTAGTTGAAGATGCAGACACCATGTTACAGTCCATAGAATCTTTTGTGTAGATAGCCTGGATTTACTTTTTTCCTTTTTTGCTCCTTTTGGATTTACCTACAGCACTTTCTTAGTGCTTGTTTTTGACATCAATAAAACTTACCCCTTCCGAAAAGAAATTCTTTTAGGACTAATTGAGGTTCACAGATAACAAATTGCACTAACTATATCTAGTGATTGGTTAAAGCATAACAAGAGCAGATAATTTTCACTATTGAAATCATCTCAAAGCACATAAAGATGGAAACCAAACTTTACCTAGCTCGTGGAGCAATTCATACTTAGTACAAGGATCTTCCCTAGTCACACTGTCCGGTATTGAACTCGACGACACCTTACTGCCCTGTGGCCTCAATGTACCACCACCACCTTCCTCATCAGAGGGCGCTCTACTGCTACGATTCCTCTGCCTCCCAATTCCAATCTCCCCTGCTGCCTGCATACTAGCCACTGCTCTGCTCATAGTTGATCCAACACCTTCATTACTTCCACTTCTAACAGTTCTCCTCACCATCGTCCCCGAATCAAACTCAGTATCCTTCACTACAAACGTCGAAAACCTACCTTCCTCATCCTCCTCATCCTCATCCTCATCCTCATCTTCCTCATATCTCCTTCTCACAGGGCTTTTCTCATCCCGATCCCAATACGACATATAACGAGCAGTCTGCTGCTGTGGTTGTTTAGGAGTGGTGAATTTCGAACTTCGATCGGTTTTCACAATCATCGTGCCGGAGATTGATGCCATATCATCGTCAGAAACTGAATCTATAGCTCCACCTCCTCCGCCGAAGTCCTTAGGTAGACGTTTGAGTAAAGGAGGAAGTGATTCGTCGTCGTTTAAGTCATCTACAACGTCGTCATCGTCATCGTCTTTGCAAACCATAGTAGCATAGAGGTCTGAATTGTCTTTCTCATCGGTTTTCCGGTCGTTGTCGTGGATGACGAAGGTGGAGTAAATATCGGATTGCTTCGCCGGCGGCGGCGGCTTCCGGGATCGCCACGACGACGGACGAAATTCCATTTCGGACCTCAGACTGTGAAGTGGCTGACGAGCTGTAAGATGGAAGTTGTACTATTAATTATTTTCTTTTAAATTTTATTATCCTTAGATAAGTGAGCTCTTACGTTATTATAAAATAAAATAAAAATTCAATAAATATAATTTTATAAAAATCAACTAGTCAATAATAATAATAATTAGTTATTATTCAATATAATCTTTTGTCACGGAACAACAATCTCTTTACCCGAAATGTAATTGTTATAATTGAAATTAGAAATTATAATCTCAAATAGCATATACAAACATTGATTTGAAATCATGATTTCATATGTTGATTTGTTTCTTTAATCCCTTTTTTTATCTGGTGTTTGGCATTTATATTGTTTCCATGCAAGTTAGTATTGGATAATATCAACATCCTGCCTATGGTAAGGTCCACAAGGGGTTGTATGGCCCGGATTTGAATCATGATCGAACATGATGCTTGACTTAGTTAAGAAATAAAGCTATGTTTTTGGTATCAGCTATAGTTTTTGGCATGATGGTAAAAGTTTGATGTAAAATTATGTAGTTTGGCAATGAGAAGCAATAATGAGATATGTACTATTGTTTATATATTCTTCTCCAAATTGTCCATAAAGATGAGATAATTGAACATCTTGAGATACAACTCATTATCAATTGTTTCTTTGCTTCCTACAGAATGTCAATCAAATATATAATGCAAGATGAAACTGAAGGTCATCTTCTCCCACAGGCTCCACCAAGCTTGTAGAAGGGACATCAATCATCATCATTTTTGGGCTTAGAGGGAACAGAATCATCAAATTCATCGTTTTCGTTCACCTTTGGACCTCCCATTACCTGAAGTTGCAGCACAAGGCTTCAAGAAACAGAATCCCACTTTCTCGGGAGGGTAGGGGGAGTCTATGATGCAATATTTTGCGCTTCCCTAATTTGCTTGGCCTTCTCAATCTTTGGCATCATTACAGAAGCTCCATCTTTGAATTTTTCGATGAATTCGTGCTTTTCAAGGTAAATGGAAGAAAAATTAGTATACTCCACATAGCTTTGCCTAGTTATAGTAAACTTATACAATACCTTTAGCATCTCTGAGGCAGTTGCACGAAGTCGGGGGTCTTTTGTAAGGCACTTGGCAACAAAATCATGGAATTCAAGAGACCTGAAATTATCAACAACATCAAATGAGATATAATTCTCTCCGAAGAGAAACAAACACAAGGATGGCAACTAGAATCTTGTCCATGATTTTACTACACACAAGGGATTCATAAATTTGGACAAAACAAGTTGCTCTAAGAGAGTGGATACAAACCAAAAAACAGTTGAATAGAAACCAACATAGAGTATTGAGAGCAAACCATTTCTGTTTATCCTCAAGCATGGGAGCTGGTTCATTGGATGTCATAAATAGCACCTATACAAAGTTAAGATATACATCAATTTTCTGAAGTTGTTACAGATATATTGGATATTGATTACCAATAGATAAAATGTCATCCTTGGAAAGCACTCATCAGAAGATCATATACTCGAAGTACGGCCCAAATAGCAATCACTTAAATGTTTACACTCTCAGATTTGAAAGACACATGATATGTGATAACCTTTTTTTCTCTTGACAAGTGAATGTGGATAATTATAAGTGAACAAAGAGCTATACTCTAGGTAAGACATTGTTCAAACAGAGGATGAGAGCTCACTGAAAAAAGGTGGGTAGACAAGGTCTCAACCTACTTGATCAAAGAAAAGGTCTCAGTGTATTGCAAATTTACTTATTTAGCATCTCTCAGTCATGAATCATTTATGATATTAAAGGAAGCATTTCCATTTTATTAGTATGTTTAGTGGCAGGACAGTCCACATACGGAAGACTTGTAATTGTGTTGTCAGGCATCAGTTTCATCCAAGAAACATGCATCAATGCACTGGTAGAATCAACAATATAGGTCAACTTTGATCGTCATGTCAATTTGTTGTGAAAATGAAATCTATCAAAATGAGATAAACATGCAATGCATGTCTTAAATTAGTTAAAGTAAAGGGCTAACCCTCGTTGGATGCACCGTTGCCTTAGGAGGAAGACCCTGAAAAAAGGAAATAAGAAAGAAAGTTCAGTTCCAGCGGTATGCAACAATAGCAGAAAAATGAAGTAGGTTGAGAATAATGAGGTCTCAGGTTCAATTCCCACCGAAGGCAAAAATACACCTAGTCTCGGTTTCAACTAGAGCTGAACCAGCAGAGGTACATCTAGTTCAGCTCCAGCAGTATAGCAGCAATACATCTCGTCTCGGATGCAATTACAAACACAAAAAGAGTATCAAAAAGAAACTGTCCAGAGATTCAATTAGATATACCTCCGCCATTTCAATAGCAGACACTCCGAGAGCCCATACATCTACCTGGAAAGTATCAGATAATAATCAGAAATGAAAAGAATGAGTTCCGCACCAATGCCAGCTTACTTCACACAAGTTATCGGGATTATATTAACGACATTAAGCACCAGCTTGAAAAGATGGAAATCAAAGCAGATGTGATACCTTCCCATCATAACGACTTGCTTGAATAACTTCTGGTGCCATCCAATGGGGAGTGCCAATAAACTAAATATAAATGAACCAACATCAGGAACTTTAACAGATAAAACAAGTCAGAAACTACTTGGCATGTTGAATATAACCAATCTGAGTAAAATGCGAACCCAACGCAGCCAGACAAATAGAGAGCAAGCTGGCTGGATTGAAACCTTCAAATACCTGATAAAATCTTAGAGTCTACACTCATTGAATAGAAATAGAAGTCTACTGACCCATTTTTTCCTGGTACATAGCCAAATAAACAGAAATCATCAACCCACTACCAACTAGAGGACAAAACATCTCCACTGGGGCAAGGTTTTAAACACTCAATGTCAATTGATTGGTTCAGTTCGAACACAATGAAGACATATCTCGAAAAACTGAACATGATAATGCCGGGCCTATTAAACTGTAAAACTTGAGCAGGCATCAATTTCAGACACCTTAAATAAGTACATCTTGAAATTGTATCACTTTGAATAAACCAGAGTGGATATAAGATTCATAAAAGCAACACCAAGTTGAGATTGGGGTGTCGTTGATTGAGTTGACCATCCATAAGCATATAAAAAGGGCATCAGTTATAAGATAGGGGCTGGGGTTGAAGTTGGAGTATGATAACAAATAAGAAGTTTGTGGGAAATACTTGCTTCGAAGTTGGCAATGGAAGAAGAGTTAACTTGTGCCTCGATGTTTGGCTTGGTCATTAACAACTCAAAGATACATTCCTTAATCTAATGATGTATGCATGACCAGGAATCCTCTCAAGCAAACAATATAGTGCTTGCCAATCTTGAGTCATGCAATGATTGGGAACTAGCGAGGACTAATCAACTCTTTGATAAATTAACAAATATTCATTTTTTTAACACAATGAGACTATTCTGGAATGTGACAATCACATCATCTTCAGGATCGATTCCTATATCAGCCCCCTTTTTCAGATAATGATTGTCAGCACCAACTTGTGCACACCTCGACTGTTTCACCAGTTATCTACTACCTACCACCAACACAAGTACGCAACTTATACACCAAGGTTAGGTAAATGCATAGAAATCACATAATGGATTCGAACCTTGGTCTCTAAGGCTTGCACCCACTTCATTGACTACTAGGCCACACCCTTGGGTGCTCGATTCCTACTATTATCAACTAATGTCAAACGCATATGGGAATAACAGTTCTTTACCTTTGAAGGTCAACTGGTGTACAGGAGAACCAACAACGTGGCTTTCTTCGCATGGACTGCAACATATGAAACTATCAGGCTCACAAACTCCTCCAAAGAAGAAGAGAAGTATATATGGGTTAACAGATGCTTCTTGTGAAAAGCTGACGAAGAATCACAGCCCCAATTACTTCATTGGTCATTTTTGAAGTATGTTCATGGTGTACTATTTCTCAAGTATATAATAAGAGAAAGACAAAGCTTGAATTATTGGGTAATTTGGTTCCTCCCAATGAAAACACAAGAATTCGAAGCAATGATGAACTAGCAGATGAGTTGCGAAGATGTTTGCTGAGGAAAAGATACTTCATAGTCATCGATGATTTATGGAGCACTGAAGCGTGGAATGACTTAAAGAGATGTTTTCCTGATAATTACAGTGGTAGTAGAATCATTTTGACAACTAGGCAAGACAAAGTGGCTTCTTATACTAAAGTTTTTAGTGCTCCTCATCGTCTTCGTTTATTCACAGTTGGTTCTTATTGCAGAAGAATGTGTTTGGAGAAGAAAGTTGCCCTCCAAAACTTGATGTAATAGGAATGCAAATAGCACAGTACTGTGGAGGGCTTATTTTGGTAGCTGGTGTTCTTGCAAAATTGGACAAGGACGAAGTTCGTTGGGAAGAAGTTGCTTATGATTTCTGGTGATAAACAAAAGTACATGGACATAATCAACTTAAGTTTACCTAATCATTTGACGAATGGCTTTCTTTACTTTGGAAAACATTTTGAGGATGAGATTTTGGTTCGAGAGTTGATTCAGCTTTGGATCGCGGAAGAATTTGCAGTAGAAGATGTAGCAAAGGACTATGTGAAGGAATTAATAGATAGTAATCTTGTAATGGTTGTTCGAAGGAATTTCTTTGGTGAGGTGAAAGCAATTGGTATGCATGATCTGTTGCGTGAGTTCTGCTTGACTCGAGGTAATATCTCATTTGAACCATCGATCACAAACTTTGTTACTTCCAGACTCTTTTAACTGGTTCTTACTATTTTATTTTCTTCCTTTTGGTATTTTGTTTTCTTTGCAGATCAAGTAATTCAACAGCTGCTGAACACGAACGTGGCATTTCACTTGATTTCCGTTAAAATTATAAAGAAGCTGAATATTTGTATCCCCATTCTGCTATCTCCCGAATACCCTATTCTGTTGACGATATACTTGACCAGAACAACTTTCTCATATTTGACTGCAAAAGTTTGTGTTTCAAACCCAGAATCACATCACTGAGAGTGTTGGATTTGGTGTGTGTCACATCGAGCAATGCACCTTATATTCAATTCTTGGTTAATTTAAGATACTTGTCCATGAAGGGGAATTTTGAGGAAGATCCATCATGGTTATCCAACCTCAAGTACTTAAAAACATTGATACTCAGAGAATCGCGCAGATTAGATCTATCTTATGCAATATGGGGTATGGTGAGCTTAAAACATTTGGAAGTGACTGGTAAACCAGCTGTCATCAGGTGCCATGTCCCAGAGTTCATGATGAACCGTCGTTTAACAAAATTACAATGTCTTTCTTTTGTACACTTACCTGAAGGCGAAGAGTTCATGTCAAAAGTACCCAATTTAGTAAAGATGAGGTGTTTGGTTGATGAGGCTGAGCCACAAGGTGATCAGACAATATGCATTAGGCTTCCAGGTTTAGACTCTTTGAATCACTTAAATTTAAGGTCTATTTTCTAAAACATGGTGCAAAGCGACTTGAGATCAACTTTCCTAGGAACCTCAAGAAGTTGACCTTGTCATCATTTCGATTACAACTATAGGAAGATTAGAAAACTTGGAGGTGCTCAAGTTGGAGTCCAATGCTTTCGAGGGAGATCAGCAATGGGATGTCGATAATGAGGAGTTCCAAAACCTCAAGTTCTTGATGTTCTACAACATGAATATTCCACAATGGAACTTTTCTGATATGTTCTTTCCTAACCTTCAACATTTGATATTCAGAAATAGTCGACTTAAAACAATTCCTCGCGACTTTGAAAACTTACTTTTGCAGCAGATGATTGAGGTGTCTTGGTGTAAATGCAGCCGAGATGCCTTAAACACTGCTGAAGAGATTAAGAAAACTCAAACTGATATGGGAAATCATGAATTTAAGCTCATAATCAAATCTAGAGAGGATGATGATCATGAAGAAGATGAAGATGATCATGAGGATGCACATCAAAAGAAGCTCTTTTCTTGATCATTTTCCAACATTTTTTTCAACTTTTTGAAGAAATGAAGCTAAGTTAGATGTTGTACTCTCCCAATTTACCAACTTTGGTATTTCAATTTGCAAGTCTTAATATTCTTTTGCTAAAATAATAGTGAATGTCGGTCGGAAATAAACTCTTTATCTTGGATCAAGTTTCAATCATTAAAATCTTTAATAAAGTTTTAATATCATTAATATGTAACTTTCACCCTTTCTATCCGCAATTACCAACGATCATCACTTATCATCTCATCTCTGTCAACCGGCATCATCACACCAACTATCTCCACCATTACAACTATCCCCACTAGTCATCACTATTACTAATCTACAACACCAACTATTACTATCATCATTTAGTACAAATCATCTCCGCCATCACTGGTGAATATAAATATTTTTAAAATCAAATAACCAACTTTGGTATTTCAATTTGCAATTGTTAATTTAGTTTTGCTAAAGTAATAGTATTGTATAAGTAAAAAGAGTTAATGATCAAATACACCATCTCGCTTTTTTACGAATTTCACATTTTAACTATCAATTATTCTCTTTTTCTTTATGAACTATCATTATTTATATATTAAAATACACTTCAACTATCTTGTGACTAGTAGGGATCCTTTTAAAGCTCATTTTGTAACATCAACACACTATAAAACTTGAATTATTTGGTTGCTTGTAATTATTTTTTTTCATTTTTTTTTCAAAGTCTAATTTCCACAAAGGAGCTATGAAGTTGGTAGTTGATATTCCAAAACAAGTTGAAATTTCATTTTCAAAGGAATGTATTTGTGATAAAAATAACAGTCAATTGGACTTATTTATTGTTCTTGTATGTAATTGATGACATGCTAGAACAAAGTCAATCCTTTTTTAGAGGAAATTTACAAGAAGTGCATAGAAGTAAAAATTGGAATACATCTAAGACTTTATAATTCATTATCCCTTTGCAATCTTTTATTTTCCCTTTCCTTTTCTTTGCTGTTACGTAGTAATTATTATTCTTCCACTTGTGTCATAGTTTATAAATAATAATGAAGGGTTGAATTTGAATGATTTAAATGTTAGGTATTTTTATATTTTTGTGTGGATAATTTTCATCCATCACTTTATATACAATCATTAGCTATCATTATTAACCACCTTTGTCATCATAGTCACTATCATTATTATCATCGTTAACTATCATCAACCACCTCTATCATCACAACTATCATTGGCAACTAGTATTGCTGACAACTCTAATATCAATCGCTACCACACCTACTATCTTCATCATTATATAATTATTTGTCCCACCACTATCGTACAATGTCGTCATTGTCATATCCGCCATCACTATCATCCACTACCACAACTACAACCAATCTCTACTACTAGTCATTTCCACCACCAACTACTAACATCAATCAACTGTACCATCACAACCACCACTATATCAGTCATCATTACTTTAATCACCATAACATCAACTACATCTTAAAACAACATCCAATCATTCAAATGCACATTCAAATTCAGACCCCTTTATTTTAATAAAAACAAACAAGGCCACACAAATTTATTTCAACCCCTTTTGTTGACCATCTACATTGTTTATAGTAATTGATCTTATATTATTGATTGTGATTAAACATATCTATATTCAACTACGTACTACTATAATTTTTTTAATCAACAAAGTTATAACACGCTATTAATGTCAAAATAAAAAATTAATTTAGATGTACCTACTATAACTTTTTAATCAAAAGCATTCCTAAAATATAATCACCGATCACAATATAAGTACATCCTTAAAATAAGTATGTAATACGAATATTTTTGTGAACAGAAAGCAACCGCAATATTTTTTTCAAAAAAAGAAGAAGCAAGTTTCATCTTTTAGCTAACGACACCTTTTCTAAATATTTGTTACATATCAATATTAAAATCTGTTATATTATTTTAATAAATATAATATTTAAATGGACAGCATCTTTTTTGGTTGTTACGTCGTTAATAATCTAAAGAATAAATCTTATATATTCTATAGACTATAAAGCAAAGTAGAGTACACGGATAAACTTAATATTAGAAATAAAATATAATTAAGTAATAAATAAATTCAAAAAAAGAAGAAAAAAAAAAGAGGAGAGTAATAATATGATCATACCAAATCAATAGTTACATAAAAGTATAAGATATTTTAGGTGAACGTTTGATCATGTTTTATTGGAAAATTGTAAAAGTACTTTTAATTTTCAAAGTGAAATACTATGTGAAAATAGAAGTTGTGTTTAGTTAAAATACTAATGAGAGAAATATTAAAAAATACCCCTAAACTCGACATAAATAGGAGTGTTTTCAACATATCTGTCGCCTTTTTATTAAGAGTCATGTACCCCTACAAGAATTTGAGATCGCTTGCTATGTCATATGACAACTCGAAGGTGTATCTAAATGTAGTCAAGTAGATTGTTTTTAAGATCGTCAATAGCTCAGGAACACAAACAATTCACGCCAAGTTTATGGTGTTTTCAATACTTCTCTCAACACAAATTAAAGTTATTTTGGACTTTTATGAGTGATTTAGAGTGAAAAAATGAAAACTCATTTTTATTTGTTTTTCAAATTGTTGAAAATTGCATTTACCTTTCTGACTTTTGTTTTTTGATGTCTTGAACTCATGACCTTAAACCTTTTTATCTCCCCTCAAGCTTTTCCTTTTTGACTTTTTTATTTCTTAATAACTCGAACTCACAATCGTAAACCCTTATTGTTTTAACAAAAAAATACTTTCCATCCGAGCAATTTTCTCTAACAAAATAACTCCATACTACACTATCAAAATAAATACTCGTTTTGTACTACTATATATAATACAAATAATTATAAGGTAACAATCATTCAAACAAAGCCATTAGAAATCTAATGGCACTTGCTTAAAACATCATCTTCTTTGTTAGCCTCACTTTCCTTTTTCATTCACCGGCAACACCGCCGTCCACCGCCGTGTTTCATCCTTCCTTAATTCCATTTTAAACACCCTTCAGGCTTTAGCTCACTAAAAGCTCAATTTTTTTTGCTAAAATTTTCACATCTGAATTCTGTTTCAACCGATTATCATCTGTTTGAGCAAAGTTAGCTTTTCCTTGAAAAGACTGAGATATATGGCTACTGTTAACGAAATTGCATCTCTTACCTATCTGGGGTTAAGTAAAGTTGTTTTTCCTAAACGGTGTCGTTTGGGTATCCCTCAAACTTGGCTGAAATGGAGGAGTAGCTGGGTTTTGGGTGGGGTGGGTTGTAGTAGTCGAAACCCTAGTTTTGTTAATCCAAGGAGGAATGGGTTTAAGTTGTTTAATTCGGTTGAATTGGGTAGTTTTGTGACGAGTGATGATGAGGAGAAGAATGAGATGAGTGATTGTTTTTTCGAGGCGATTGAGGAATTAGA